TGAAAGTGGCAAATGATAGCCCTAGGGCCCCTCTACCTTGCCCCAATAATTATTTGATGAACACTTCAAGGATAAGGCGTATAATAGCTGCCCTTTTCCCGTTTCCCAATCTACAATGATGAAAAACATCAAAGTTCAGGTTAGCTAACTGGACCCTTCCAACCCCTAAGACCCTGCAGAAATCTGTCAAGGGGTACCCCCTACCCACCCCCTGTGTTAGTTTGTTCAGGAGGCCGACAATGAATAAGATATGAATGCTGGAAATATGCCCCACGCACTCGGCACCACTGGGTGGTGCCACTACAGCCCCATTCTGAAAGTGGCAAATGATAGCCCTAGGGCCCCTCTACCTTACCCCAATAATTATTTGATGAACACTTCAAGGATAAGGTGTATAATAGCTGCCCTTTTCCCGTTTCCAAATCTACAATGATGAAAAACATCAAAGTTCAGGTTAGCTAACTGGACCCTTCCAGCCCCTAGGACCCTGCAGAAATCTGTCAAGGGGTACCCCCTACCCACCCCCTGTGTTAGTTTGTTCAGGAGGCCGACAATGAATAAGATATGAATGCTGGAAATATGCCCCACGCACTCGGCACCACTGGGTGGTGCCACTACAGCCCCATTCTGAAAGTGGCAAATGATAGCCCTAGGGCCCCTCTACCTTGCCCCAATAATTATTTGATGAACACTTCAAGGATAAGGCGTATAATAGCTGCCCTTTTCCCGTTTCCCAATCTACAATGATGAAAAACATCAAAGTTCAGGTTAGCTAACTGGACCCTTCCAGCCCCTAGGACCCTGCAGAAATCTGTCAAGGGGTACCCCCTAGGGCCCCCTACCCACCCCTGTGTTAGTTTGTTCAGGAGGCCGACAATGAATAAGATATGAATGCTCGAAATATGCCCCACGCACTCGGCACCACTGGGTGGTGCCACTACAGCCCCATTCTGAAAGTGGCAAATGATAGCCCTAGGTCCCCTCTACCTTGCTCCAATAATTATTTGATGAACACTTCAAGGATAAGGCGTATAATAGCTGCCCTTTTCCCGTTTCCCAATCTACAATGATGAAAAACATCAAAGTTCAGGTTAGCTAACTGGACCCTTCCAACCCCTAAGACCCTGCAGAAATCTGTCAAGGGGTACCCCCTAGGGCCCCCTACCCACCCCCTGTGTTAGTTTGTTCAGGAGGCCGACAATGAATAAGATATGAATGCTGGAAATATGCCCCACGCACTCGGCACCACTGGGTGGTGCCACTACAGCCCCATTCTGAAAGTGGCAAATGATAGCCCTAGGGCCCCTCTACCTTGCCCCAATAATTATTTGATGAACACTTCAAGGATAAGGCGTATAATAGCTGCCCTTTTCCCGTTTCCAAATCTACAATGATGAAAAACATCAAAGTTCAGGTTAGCTAACTGGACCCTTCCAGCCCCTAGGACCCTGCAGAAATCTGTCAAGGGGTACCCCCTACCCACCCCCTGTGTTAGTTTGTTCAGGAGGCCGACAATGAATAAGATATGAATGCTGGAAATATGCCCCACGCACTCAACACCACTGGGTGGTGCCACTACAGCCCCATTCTGAAAGTGGCAAATGATAGCCCTAGGGCCCCTCTACCTTGCCCCAATAATTATTTGATGAACACTTCAAGGATAAGGCGTATAATAGCTGCCCTTTTCCCGTTTCCCAATCTACAATGATGAAAAACATCAAAGTTCAGGTTAGCTAACTGGACCCTTCCAGCCCCTAGGACCCTGCAGAAATCTGTCAAGGGATACCCCCTAAGGCCCTTAACCCATCCCCAGTGTTAGTTTGTTCAGGAGGCCCACAATGAATAAGATATGAATGCTGGAAATATGCCCCACGCACTCGGCACCACTGGGTGGTGCCACTACAGCCCCATTCTGAAAGTGGCAAATGATAGCCCTAGGGCCCCTCTACCTTGCCCCATTTATCATTTTATGAACACTTCAAAGATTAGGCATGTAATAGCAGATCTTTAATGGCGTTTTTGGGATAAAATGCAAAACAGGCAAAGTTCATAGTAGATAACTGGCCCATTCCAGTCTCTCGGACCTTTTGAAACGTTGACAAGGGATTCCCTCTAAGACCCTAAACTTAATGACCAATAATTGATGACGAATGATTGCTTGAAATATGACCCATGCACTTGGCACCACCTGGTGGTACCACTAAAGCCCCTTCTGATAGCAGGAAATAATAATCCTTGGGCCCTTCTATCTTGCCCTAGTAATGTTGATCACTTTAGAAATCATGGGTATAATACCTGCCTGTAATATCAAATTTTGGAACCACTTAGTGGCACCACCACCACTTATAACTGATAGTGGTAATTTACAGTCTGATAGATTCAATAAGTTGTCCCAGTAATAATGTTCGAAACATACTTCATCCTAGTTTACACTTGTGCTATATTTCAGTTTACAATCGTTATATATTAATCAAATTTCAGGTTAGCTTATTGGCCCTGTCATAATCTTGAGGTCCCTGAAGGAGTTGAAAAGGGATTCTTCCTGAAGGAGTTAACCATTTCCTAGTACTTGTTTGTTCAATTGGATAAAAATTATAAAGTACTGTATTTCTTATTTTTCGGTTTTTAAAAAGAAAAAAAATTGTTCAGGTGAGCCTTACTGCCTCTGAGTATCTGATTTATTATGTAATTAATTGTTGCATTAATTTTATAATCATTAACCATTAATATCTAAAATAACCTATTAAAAACAGTACTGCGTTTGAGTACTCTCAGTTCTTTGATGAATTTCCTTATTGGCTGCTAGCTTCTACGCGCTTAGTGGCTGCTGTTATTGGCTGCTAGCTTCAGCCTGGTAGATAACTAGACATGTAATGTAGCAGATGTTGTCCTATGATGTTGTTGTTGCTTTTCTTTTCCATTGTTATTAAGAATTGATGTAACCGTATTTAATCAAATATGATACTTTTTATCTGTTGAATACGTTGCAATTTAAAGCGAAAGTAGATCAGCCTTACCCCAATCAGTAAATTTGTGTTGTAAACACAGGCACTTGTTTCTGTAATAAATTCTTTACACAAGGTATAATAATAACACGTTATTATTATACTATGGGTTAGAATTTATTCCCGAAACAAGTGCCTGTGGTTGTAAAGTATATGCTTATGTCTTCACTTTGTCAATTTTGATTTTAAAGCTCCTAAATTGCTTTCCTCCTGGTTTTGTTGATGTACTGTCGAGCATTCAAAAAATTTAAAAAATGTAATGATTAGAGAAAGGATCCATCCAAACACACCCCCCCCCCCTTGCACCTTATGTTACTTATTGGTGTGGGCTGTTTAAGTTTTTGTTTGTTTATTTTTTTTAATTACTTTTTATTGTTCATGTTGTTATCAGGTTTTATTTTCTTTTTTACATTAGCCCCCGCCCCTCGCCACCATCACGACTCGTTCCACTTTGAAATACGTTGAAACTGTTCTAACTTGCATGCATACATATGTGTCGCAGGTGCTTGTTTCATACGGTAGGATAGTTTTTCTACTATATTATATCTGAATATATAGTAGAAAACTAGAATACTGAATGAAACAAGCGCCTGTGATATGTGTATAATATTCTGTGTATCTTTTCAAATATCTGCCCCATTTCATAAAGAAGACAAAACATCTATAATTTTAATAATTCATCAATACTTTTAACAGTTTCTGGCAAAACTTATTTATATAATATGTTTAAGAAGGATATTTAAACAATAAAATGCTTTCTTGTTTGTTATTATTGGAATGAACGGAGGCAGCTGTTGCAGAAAAAACACATAACCCGCGTAAGCGGGTTAGGGTTATGTAAATTTTTTTTGCAATAGCTGCGACCGCTCATTCCAGTAATAACAAACAAAGAAAGACATTTAATTGTTTATATTTATATCTGTTTAAATAATCAAAGTAGGATTAAAAAGATTAATTATTGTATTAATGATGCAAACGTCTTTATACGTTTCATTGATGGAACAGCCACTGATTAAGAAATCTGTACAGACGACATGCCTACTGTAGTTTATGCAGTGATGAACGCAATGGGGTTTCTTAAGAAATAAAGGAGACAATATTCAGTGGATGTAAATATTATTAGAGTAACTGGCATTGTTATTACATCTCAATCTTTTTTAGCTCACCTGAACCCAAGGCTCAAGTGAGTTTTTCTGATCAATTCTTCCGGCGTCTGTTTCTAAATATTTGATTTAAATGTCCGACTTCTTCTCAAGAACAAATGGGTCAATTTATTTCAAACAACCTTGTTAAAAATTCCCTTAGATAAAAAGGATTTGTTTAATTAAGCACCACGCCTTCTTTAGAATTACAAATGAGTAAAAAATTCATGGCGTCTTTTAACAATCTTCCAAAAAGCACTTGCTCAGGAAAAATGAATCTTATGAAGCGACAATCCTCAAGTAGTGTAGATTCAAATTTGCTCATATCTTTACTCCTGAAGGTAGGATTGATAATCAAAGTTTTACATAAGAATACATATTAGGAAAACCTTTTTAAAAAATTCTTCTGAATCTCAAGAGCAGCAAGGTCATTATTGGTCTTATTAATACAGAAGCATCTTTTGTTAGTGTAGAATCAAAATTCTTCAAATCCCCGTAAGAGTGGGTCAGATTTATAGAAGACAACATGTATATCAAAAAAATCTTCCAAATTCATAATTGGTAAAAATAAAAAAAAAAGTATATGGAAGATTCAAGTTCGTTTAACTATGACCACCTTTTAATGGTAAGGTTTAGTGAAGGTACATATTTTAATTCAATGCTTTTTCAATATATACCGAAATGATGTAACAGTCTTTTCTCTAGCCAAAGTGCTCAGGTGAACAATGTGGTCAGTTGGTGTCTTTTGTATATGTAGTAATATAATGTTTCAGTAGAAATTCTTTAAGTGTTTTTTTTTCAGTTGTGCATGTTTTCAATATTGGAACTTCTCTTCATTTTTTTTCAGGCTACAATGGCCCGTTCACAAGCCCAGGACGTCATTCGATGTCAATACTGCGAGGACGATCCCGCTGTCTTCCACTGTGTTCCGTGTGGAGATGAACTCTGTCCTCCATGTAAACTCTTCCATCTTAAAAGTAAAGTTCCCTCTGGGCACAACATCATCCGTCTGTCTGAGAGACTTCATCCAACCAATCAGATCAAAATGTGTGACGTCCACTCAACTAAAGCATATGAAGCTTGTTGTAAAGATTGCCAAGTCCCAGTGTGTATTACATGCATTCAGGAAGTACACAGCGAACACGCCATCGGGAAGATACAAGAACTTTACGAGAAACAAAAGACCGAAACTGCCGACGAACTGACAAAGATGAAGACACAGTTGAAATCGGAGATTATTCAGAGAATAAAAGATTTCAAATTAGGAAAAAATGAAATAAAGAGCGCCCATGAGAACGTACGAGAGAAAATGAAGAAACAAGCTCAGGATCTTATAGATCATATCAGAGTCATTTTGAAGGAAGCCTTGCATGAATCTGAGAAAGATGAGAGAAAAACTAGAGAGGAAATATCCAGACATAAAGCGGAGGCTGAGAAATTTGAACAAAACTTGGATCAACTGATTGAGAAATTTGAAACTCTCACAAGTCATCCTGCCGAAATTATTTTATTTAAAAAGCAAAATCCTGAAATATTTAATCAATTGAAACTTCCAGACAAACTTAATTTTGTTATGCCTTCTTTTACAGTTGGTCAGATCAACAAATCTCAAAATAAGCATCAGTTTGGCAAGTTCATGGCAGGTAAGGTTCACTATGTTAAATCACTTGATGAAAACTCACAACATATATTGCCATCTTTGTCTGCAAGGGGGAGTACATCCAACAAAAGAGTACTGGGGCGTTCAGTAAAAATAAGCAAAACGAAAACTCAAATGAAAAAGCTATATCACGTGAGTTGTCGTGATGAGAGATCAGCGTACATCAGTGGTGATGGTCCTGGAATACAACTGATAGACAGGTCAGGGACAGAGCTGGATAACATCAGTACTGACAGAGAACCAGAAGGACTGGCTGTGATGAAGGAGGGAAGTCTGATTTACTCTGACCAAGACAATAAAGTTATCTATAGAGTGTCACTCAATAAACAGAAAACAAAACTTATAAATGCTGAGTATGGTCCTAGAGGACTGTGTTGTACCAGGTCAGGTGATATCCTGGTCTGTATGGGTTTTTCGCTTATAATTTATACAGCGAGAGTGGTTAAGTACAGCAGCAGTGGGAGGAAGATCCAGGAATTCCAGACAGATCAGAACGGGGAGGGACTTTTTATTCATCCAAGGCTTGTCTGTGAGAATGTTAATGAGGATATCTGTGTTACTGATTGGAATTTATGTAAAGTGGTCGTGCTGAACAAGGGTGGAAGTCTTAGATTTAAATATGAGGGGAATGTCCCGTCAAGGATGTTAAAAGCCACGTTTAATCCGCATGGTGTGGCTACCGACAGTCTGGGTCACATCCTTATCGCAGACAGAGCCAATAACACCGTACACCTAATCAGCCAGGACGGGGATTTCCTGTCTTACATCCTGACAGAGGATGATGGGATATCACAACCGTACGGGATCTCTGTGGACACGTCCGACAATCTGTGCCTTGTGGAACAAGACAAAGCCTGTGTCAAAGTGTATCAGTATCTGTCATAACATTGCCCTTGTTTCCTATATTGTTAACCTATACTTACTTATACAATATACAATACAAAGAGTCTCGAGATAAAATCATGTACATGTATGTAATTTTCAGTTGTAGTTCATGTGTTTAAAAATATTAAGTTGTTAAAAAGATAAATGTCTCTATTATACATGTATGTATACTAGATTTGTAACTAAATTCGGTTTCGGGACAGCACTTCACATTTTCTTTACCTACTTCTTTAAAAAAATGCAGTAAATAAACTAGTGTTTAAATGGCTTCATATATTTCACTCAGAAAATCTAATGCAGATACCAATACACAAATGTAATAGGTCAGATTTATTTTATGAATTTGCCCAATATTTTTGCCCGTACTTTATAGGGATTCATAGACTAGGGCATTTAGAAAAAGATGAAATGTTGCCGTCGTCTTCACCTAAGTCTGTGATCATCTTGAAGTTCTTGGACAGAAAATATAATGTGCTTTTCACAATTACATAAAACACACAGGAGAGATTGAAGATGAATTTCTTTTTCTATTAAAATACGATTTATACTCAAAAGGTTAAGTGTTGCTATAATATCAAATGTTTAGAAATAATTGTAAATGAAAATAAACTAAACAAAACACACTCATTTATTAAAAAATATACATTATACCTAAATATAAAACAAAATTAATGACTGTTTGATTTATGCATATCCTCCTATTCTAAAATATTGTATAAATGCTTGAACAATTGATGATTTTTGTTTGTTGTATCTTTGCCAATTATGTACTTGACAGATTTGTGCTTATAAATATTGCTATTTGCATGTAAATGTTCATAATATAAAAATATTCTAATTCAAGCCACATACAAATTATCCCAAAATGGGAGATTTAATCTAAGCAGAAAATCAACATCGTCAATATAATTATAATGTCTCCTCGTGAATATTACTGAGATGAAATGTGATTAACATTTGTAAGCGAATTTGAGAATGAACAATATACAAACATATATGGATTACATGAAGTATACCTTGTTCAGAAATCTGACAATTTTTCCTCCAAAAATAGCTTCAAATTGAGCATTATACCAAGTTAAAGATTAATGTCAAGCTGAGACGAAACTCATTGTGATGTACACAACTTATGTTTATTTATAGATAAAAAGTAAATCTTTTATCCAATAAAATGACATGTTACAAATAAAATCAAACTACTTGATTGTTGATAATGGTAAAATTTATAAAATTATAAGGAAAGGTAATGATAAAAATTTTTTTAAAATCTGAATTCTTCATGTTTCTCATTAAGTTAAATTATTTCTTTGTTTAAATCTCGGTGTCCCCATCACAATTTAATATAAAATAACCCCATCCCACCCCAACATAACCCCACCCCACCTCCCCTCTAGGTTGTGTGAATACTACGTTTACACCGTCAAAGTACATGTTCATGCATAAATGAAAGTTTCTTTAATAAAAAAATCTTCGAATTCAGTAGTTATTTGATTAGTATGACAATACAATCGTTGTTTCTTCATTGAAGAAGGATGTGCAAAATACTATAATTAACTTGCACTTGTATGCTGAGAAATTAATCCCAAGTTGCTTCTGACAATGTCTGTTAAATCCGATAGAAAATCCATCTTAGCAGAAAAATAGCAAGTACAGGCAAATAGTATATAAATATCAAAAAAGGATTTAGAAACAAGTTTTAAAAACTTATAGTCCCTGTTTTGATTTTGATCACTTGGTCAGTATTTTAAATTCACATAGTTTAAACTATTAAACTTCCTGGTTATTCATTCAGTCAATATTTGACATTCTTTATTCACTCAGTCTTTCTTTTTGTTGGCGGCCATGACAGATCTCAGTTTGTCTCCGTAATACCACAGAGCCAGGGTTTCCGTAGATACACCAAGGTAATGAGCCTGCAGAATCACTCGATTTAATCCTGTGATCTAAAAATATATATTTAAACATATATTTAATGTACTGTTGGAAACTTTTGTTTTAATTTGTCATGTTGAACAGTATATGAAAGTACATGTATCATAATTACATGTATTTCTTAATGTCTTTGGTTTGAACATATTTTATTGTATAAATACTATACAAATGGTTTGAACACAAGTTCTAACAACTTACTTGGTTCTCACCATACAACTGTCAATATATATATATAGGGAAAATAACCTGGAGACAAAGTCCCTGAGAAGACACCTTTTATTATTTTGTACAATGAAATATTATGAAGATAATGGAAATTATTTAAGCTCATAATCAAATTAAAAAATGCAAATTAGAAGCTGAGCAATTAAGAATCCCCTAAAAAAAAACCAAAGCGGAACCAGGTGCCAAGTAGAAGTAAACATCCCTGGCAACCGGTCACATCCGCCGTGTCTTCTTTGTCAAGATTGAGTTAACAGAAAATAATCTGTATAAGCCATTACAAGGTGCTATTACCTCAATTTGTTAGATAATTCCCCTTATTAGTTATGAGATCCTATAACCTCTCTCAACAGACACTACACTTTTGGAGATCCTATTTTTTCTGTCTTCAGATATTCATCCTAATTATCTCTGTCCCTAGACACTAATCCTTATGAGGACCGATATCTCAATCTGCATCCACTTCCCCATAAGAGGTCCTCTTACAAATACCCCTTTGGAGGCCCCATTTATACTGTCTACAGATATGAACCCTTTCAAGACCCCATATCGTCTGACTAAAGGAACTACTACTTATGAGAATATTTTTTCTACAGACACTCCCCTATGTGGTCCATCTAAAGACACTACCACTTTAAAAAAAATTACAGAATGATATTATTTATTATGTGGCCCTAGCTATTTTCTATGTTTAAAGAGGCTTCAGTTTGTCTATACATTACCATTATGAGGCCGAAATATTCTGGCTACAGATCTTATTTTCTTTTCTACAGGTTACTGATACAAACCTTTATAAAGCCCCATTTCCTCTGTGGCTCCTTTTCTTTTTGCAACACTTACTCTAAAGAAGCCCTATTTTCTACAGATGCTATTCTTTATGAGGTCCTATTACCTTCAGGCCATCCTTAAAAAATTGTTTTTTTGCGGTAACGCGACCGACTCACCAAAATCCACCCTACTGGATTTTTTTTATGGGTTCAAAATTTTTTTTTTTTTTTTGTTACATATCCATTTTCTAATTTTATCCTATTGTCCATTTTCAAAAGGTGAGTTATTTCCCCTGAAGGGAACTCTTTTACTGTGTTTAATACGCATGCGCTATAAATAAAGTCACTTCCGCGGACGTTCTTGATGTAAACATGTTCATGGTGTAATGCCTCTGTCATATGGAAAAAATGTTATTGTGTTTGTGAATAAAAAGAAATCTTAACTGATTCGTATTTTTTTTTAAATTGCCCACTCATAGTCTCTTTCTGGATTTGTATTAATCTGTGTAGTACTATAATAAGGTGCTGTGTGACCACCCCCCCCCCCCCCCACCTTACCAAAAAAAAAAAGAAACGAAACAAATTACTGATAAAATGCTGATACATATTCGAATAGGCCTATTTAAAAAATAAAGCTAATAAGCTAATTTTCGGTAGTGGATGTACTGCAGATGGATCATCATTATTTACAAAATGTGCGGAACAAATTTTTAGCTATAAAGTTTTTACGAATTAATCTAGCCTGCTGCAGCCATATTTTCTTTGTATCTCTAGGATTTTTTTTGGAGAATGATGACATGTCCATCTACAGTTTTACCTCTGAAATTGCTGCATAAACAGCAGTAGTTCGTCTTCCGCGACCGATACCAAGAAACTGCGTTTTTGCTCGATTGTATGTCATAACATAGAACTTTTACTTACAAGAACACATTTGGTGACAATTAAATGCCTATTTCATTTGAATTAACAGTGTTTCTAGAATTTTTTATTTGTAAAATAATTGATTCACTATATAGTATTAAAACTTTGCATGGAATTCTAAATGAATAATTTAATCTCATGTCCTCATGTAACGAAGAAAGACTAATTAAAATAGCATTGACCTGAATTCGTGTTACATATGTCGTATAAAGTCTGAGCTGCATTTAATCAAAGTTTTAGTGTAGGATCTAAACATATGTACATGTATATTAAAAATACACATTTTGTTTTAGATCAGAGAATTGAGAGCAGAAACACAAAATTGATACAATAATTTCCTATTTCTCGTTAATTAACGGAAAACATTTTTTTCTCAAGTGTTATTTATTTTTTTAATCCTTTCAGTGTAAGTACATGTACTTATTTTTATAAGCTATTCATTTTTGCAAAGTGTATAAAAATCAATATCAGAGAGAGAGAGAGAGAGGGAGAGGGGGGGGGGGGGACTCATGTAACCCCGTGTAACTGACATACATGTACAACTGTGAAAAAATATATGTACCGTAATTTTATTGAATTCACAATTAATAATTCTAATAGTTTTTAATTTTCACAACTATGGTTCATATTCAACTATTCAACCCATTTACATATTCGTTCTCTGTACCTGTACGCTAGGGGAGGGGGGGGGGGTCATGGGTCTTAGCCCCACCCCTTCTTTTTTCCCAATACTACTTTTTCTTTGAAAATGTTCATTTATATGAATTATATTTACATCCACTGAATATTTTCTCCTTTATTTCTTAAGAAACTCCATTGCGTTCATCACTACTGCATAAACTACAATAGGCATGTCGCCTGTACAGATTTCTTAATCAGTGGCTGTTCCATCAATGAAACATATAAAGACCTTCGCATCTTTAATACAATAATTAATCTTTTTAATCCAGCTTTAATTGATTATCTAAACAGATATAAATATAAACAATAAAATGTCTTTCTTTGTTTGTTATTACTGGAATGAACGGTCGCAGCTATTGCAGAAAAAATTTACAAAACCCGCTTACACGGGTTATGTATTTTTTCTGCAACAGCTGCTTCCGTTCATTCCAGTAACAACAAACAAAGAAACTTAAGCATTTTATTGTTTAAATATCTACAGGTTGCCCCCCCCCCATCCACACACAGAGTTAATACTACGGTAAAGTTATGTAAGGGAAATATAGTATAATTTTGTATGCCAAGGAACTGGTACTGAAATAAGTAGATTTTTCAACTTTGGGCAAGGTTTTTCTTTGCTTGTCAACTTTTCAAGGTAAGAAAAAAACATATCTTTGGCTACCCCCCTCCCCCCCCCCCCACACACACACTTTTAAAGACGATGCTACGTGCCTGGCTAATTCGTATAGCTTTCTAGAAAGGGGGGGGGCTAACAGACCCTTTATAAAATAATTTATTATCTAAAATAATGGAAACCGTTTCCTTCTTTTTAAATTTTTTAATACAACGTGTAAGTTGATCACTATTTTGTTGGATTATCGTATTGCGTAGTCCGCGGAAGTTAGGCTAGTGTAGAAGAGTTCCGATTTTGAGGGGAGATAACTCACTTTTGAAAATGGGGAATTGACATTTTTTTACGTCCCCATTGCACCTGTCGACGCCGTTTTTAAAAAAGAACTGATGTGTTCTGATATTTGAACAATAAAAGATTGGATTCATTAAGAATGCCTTAATTTTCTTGTTTGATTAGTAACTTAAAGTGAAATCTAAGACATAGTTAATACCTCTATATAATCGAAATTTAATTCTGACTTTTTGTCTCCAAAAAAAAAAAAATAAGCCTACCTACCTACCCACACCTAAAATGATGAGGCGCGTTACCGCAAAAAAAAAAAAAATTTTAAGGATGGCCTCATCTGTAGACAATAAACCATGAGGCCTCATTTCCTCTGACTACAAAATGTAAACCTTTATGATGACCAATTCCTTCTATCTACAGATAAAACTACTTTCAACAAATCATTCCTTCTGACTTATAAGACATTAATCCTTAAGAAGATCCACTTTCTATGCCTACAGGCATTAGTCCTAATGAGGTATTTACCAATGTGATGCCCCATTTCTTTTGTCCACAGCTGCGTCAGCATCTTACTCTTATACGGCCTTGTTACCTACATCTTTAAACAATTTTCCTTATGATGTTTCATTACTTCTTTCTTCAGGCAATTATTCTTATGGGCCCCATTACCTCTATCGTATTACAATTACCCTTATGAGGCCACATTACCTCGATCTTCAGACACCTACCCTTATAAGACCCCATTTTCTTGATCTTCAGACACCAACCTTAATAGGCCTCATTTTCTCCATCTTTAGACACTTACATGTACGAGGCCCAAATTTCTCTTATTCAGACACTTATAGGAGGCACCATTTTCTCTTTTTACAGACTGACACTTGCCATTTATACGAGGCCTTTTTTACTCCATCTTTAGACACTTACCCTTATGAGGCCCCATTTTCTCCACCTGCAAGCACTAGTAATAACCGGGTGACCGGGTGCTATACCTATATGTCCCTTCCTCCACAGTTCCTCTACCTGAAGACAAAATTAACTTCAGAAAGCATCCACAGATATTCATATTTCTCCTGAAAATGGATTTCTGCTGATTATTCAATTAATACAATCAATTCCTACACTAGGTAAATTTGCAATTTTTTAAGCCATCTATATAATGAAAGATTTTTTAAAACCACTGCTTGAAAAGTGGGAGGATATATAGTGATTGGGATGTCCGTCCGTCTGTTATGCTTTAGGGTACACATTTCTAATCCATGACTACAACTGAATGAAATTTAAAGACACTTTACAGAATCTTTGTTACATATTGCCATTGTGCACCTCATATTTTACTTCTTGATCTGACACATACTTTTGGTCTCCTAGAGCAAATCATGGACATTGCCATTATTTCTATATCAAAGACGGTTTTTTTTTTCAATGTCAAAGGTCAATTGCTTCTTGATAGTTTATAAACAAAAGTTCAATTGTAATCGGTGTTTTCTGCCACTTAATATAAATAATTTATAATATAGATATAATCATAAATACAGCAAAACTCGGTTATACTGAAGTCACAGGGACCTATGAAATTACTTTGCTATATCCATAATTTGTTATAACCGTACAAGATATTCATAAAATTTATATAGCTGGGGGATCAAAGATGACTTAGCAATATCATTAAATTCGCTATGTCCGTGTTCGTACTAAACCAGTTTAACTGTAACATTAATGTAACACTTTTTATATTCACTGAACAAATACCATTCCTTGTAGGAAGAAACCACAGCTTTCAATAGAGTTCTAAATTTTAACAACAAGATGTTGTACATGTATTACCAGAAGAACATCCTCCAGTAGATAAACTTCTTTAAATCCTCCGATTTTGTTGTACATGTGACGAGTTGTGAATATTGCATTGTCTCCAAATGGATATTCTACAACATTAAGCATGTAGGTTAATTTGTTGTAAATGTCTATAAGTTATATCTATTGTTGGTTAGTATTGATTTTTTTAATATATGAAATTAAAATTAATTTAAAACAAAATTTATCTAAACAAAGTTATTCATGCAAAATTGAGTCTGTGCTTTAGATCAAGTGTATAATTATGAAACATTGTTCCAAAAACATCAGAAAGAGAAAAAAAATATGACAGTTACCCATCTTAAACCATGTAAAAGATGGTAAGAACTGATTTAGCATGATAAAATCTGCTAAATATTTTTTTCATTTTTGTTTTTGTTTCCTTATAATTATCATATAACAATATTACCAAAGTTTTCTATTCTTCTGTTGGTTAAATATTCCACAAATTTCATCTGAAGCTTAAAAAACCAACTGTCTTTACTGAAATCAAAATCAAAATGAAATAGGAAGATCTTTAAACTTAATTAAAGTAGGTATTTTGTCAAGCTTTGAAAAAGGTTTGGTTAGAATCTCACAATTACAACAAAAATGTCAATATCAACATTGAAATTTTAAAAATCATTTGAATTAAACAATGAAAACTAAACAAATTGAATATTCATTTTAAAATCTGCTCAGAAAATCAAAAGCAAATGATTTTTGGGGAACTTTTTCTCTTAATGGAAGCAGACTAAAATCAAGAGATAATGCTCAAAATCTACATGTAAATCATTTCATTCAATTATTAAGGGCTTTGATCTTATATTTTTTTCCTCAGAATTTTTGTTTGCTATGAGATGCTAGCTAGTGTTGTGGTTTTTGGGGTGGGGTAGTTTCTATGTTTACTGTAATAAGCCATAAGTGAATACTTTGGTTATATACCGTATATCCTTTTTTTCGCGATGATCTATATTTTTCGCATTTTTTGTGACCAATTTGAATTTCGCAAAAAAAAAAAAAAACACACAGAAATTATGTCAGCTATAGTGTGACATAAAACATTACCATTTTAAACCAAAAAATCTTCGATAGTAAGAAATAATTTACGCAAAATAAAAACTGTACCAATTTACCCCATTTTTCGCAAAATTTCCTACAGGTACATGCAAAAAAAAATGGATAATAAGCACAAGTTGTTCTACAAACTGTGCAGTTATCATCTAGCTGTAAAGGAGAATAGACAGACAGACAGACAAACAGACAGGCAGCTAGACAGACAGACAAACAAACAGACAGACCTACCTGTCCAGATCTACACTCCAGACAAAGGAGCCGGCTACATTCCCTGGAGTTTTTAGACAAATCTCCGCAGCGTTGTCAAAGTTCCGCGGTAACAGAGTGTCACTATGGAGAAATAACAGTAAATCTCCCGAGGCTGCTTCTGCTCCCGCCTTCTGCTGGAACCCTCTCCCTGGTACAGGAAAAAAAAGGAAATGTAGTACAGACATTTATCTAAACTCAAAAACTGTTATCAGAACTGACGAGTTCTTGGATCCTTAATTTACTTTTCTAGTGTACTTATACATGAAACACTTAATTCACAGCATGTTATATGATGTACTGTTTATGAATCCATAGTATTTTAAGAAATATCAAGCAGTAAACCCAATGACCTTAAAAGAGAATTATCAGGATTACGTACTGGTTGACCCTAAACACTGTACCTGGTGAACTGTTGATGACCTTGACTGGAATGTTGACCTTCAGAGAGAAGTCCTTGACCTTCCTGACTGTGTTGTCCTTACTTCCCCCATCACTAACTATGATCTCCTGAATCCTAGACTCATCACTGCAGTGCTAAAATAATCAGAGTACTGTGAGTACTGATAGATGGTGGCACTAATAAAGTGTTTTCACTTAGATTTTAAGTGTGATAATGTGTTTTCACCTAGACTCATCACTGCTGTGCTAAAAATAAATACCGTAAATCTGGAAATTTTTGCTGTCGATAAATATTTAGCAAATTTGCGAGTTCATTGCATTCGCAAAAATATTTTTCTTAAAAATAAATTACTAATAAGAAAATGTAAACAAAGCAGTGGTAATTCGCAAAATTTTGAAACGTAAAAATTAATTAACACCATTTTGACCCGAAGTCGCAAAATAAAATCGATGTAAAAATTTCCAGATTTACGGTAAAGTGTTTTTACTTAGACTCAATACTGCAATACTAAAAATAATAAAGTCTTCTCACTTAAACTTGACCCCGATCATCACTGCTGTGCTACAAATAATAAAATGTTTCACAACTCTCATACCTGACACACTGTTTTGTGTTCACAATATTATCCTCCTTGTTCACATCTAAACCCACCCCTCATGATCCATCCCCCAGTAATACCTGACACACTGTCTGTATTGTGTGTACAATATTATCCTCCTCGTTCATGGTAGGTATGATCACGCTCCACTTCCTCTCCGTCAGCTCCCGACGCTGGATTTTCAGTGCCTCCTCCAAAACTGGAAGATCCTCCTCCAGGTCCTGTCAAATCAAAATCAAATAAGAATCATTGTTGTTAGGTTCTGTTATTCAAACAATCTATCTAAAATCTTCTATGTCAAGTCAGCATCATTCTATTTAGGTTCTGTAATTCTAACATTCTCAGACTAACATCTTTCAGAACCTGTCAAATCAGAATCATCCAAAGATCCTCAACCTATCATTCAACACTGCTTTTATTCATGAATTCTTTCAACTGGTAACAAGAATGTCAATCATCTTTGGGATAGAACTCTTTGTAGCTCTTTGAGCTAAAAACACATGAAATATACTGATGCAATGGAAAGTGTATCTCAAAAGAAGATGAGTCAGAATGTGTTCTTTAAATTACAAACTAAAATTTAAATCAACAAATAATCCTCACCACATCAGAGAGCTGTGTGTCGAGAATTAGCAGATTGATGCCCAGTTGTTTAGCTTTGTCACACTGCTGCTGAAAGACCTTATCTGTCCCCCAATCCATCCCCTCAAATACCTCACCTACAATCAAAGTCATACACTTTACTTCTCTGTCCACCAAGCTATCCCCTTTAAAACCTAACCTAAAATCAAAGTCAAGTATAAAATACATGTTTCATAAAGAAAGCAAGCAAACTCTGCTCTTCACACGCATCAAATGACTTTCTTCCATCAAATTAAAGGACAAGACTTTAAAGGTGCCTGACTACTACAGTCAACACTAAAAAATCTTAATCTGTCAACAGTGAGTGAATAAAATACATGTGTCTTGACAAGTCATCATTCATCTGCCTTTTCTTCCGTTCTTAAGATTATTATTTGACACAGACATTTCTTTACATCTCACTAGTCCTCTGTCTTTTCTTCTCTTTTTAGATCAGGGTTTCTAATAACTAACCTATTTTGTTGACTGCGTCCCTGGAGAAGCCCTCTAAGTAATACCCCCCGTCCTCTGCCTGTTCTACTGGGTGTCTAATAACTAACCTATCTTGTTGGCTGCGTCCCTAGAGAACCCCACTAAGTAGTACCCCCCGTCCTCAGCCTGTCCCAGCACCATCTCTGCCCCGCTCTCCAGGGTCTCAAACGCTTCCTTCATCACATTAGCATCCAGTCCAGGGATGTCAGAACCTACAATAATTATAGAAAGGGACTTGCATCATTCAACACACACATCAATGGCTGTAAATGTTCTTTAATCATGCAAGGGGACCTCAATCATTTAACATAAATGTCTGTGCAATAATTAAAGAAAGCGGCATATATGAATACCATATAAGTAGAATTTTTAGTGAGGTTTTAATTTTGGCATTATTAGTGAGGGTCCTGAGATCGCTAAAATTAAATATCGCTAAAAATTAATTACATTTTATTTGTAAAAGCTTCCTTAGAAAAAATCACTAAAATTACCTCTCGCTAAAAATAAATTACCATTTTTAGCTCACCTGAGCCAAAGGCTCAAGTGAGCTTTTCTGATCACAATTTGTCCGTTGTCTGTTGTCGTTGTCGGCGTTGTTGTTGTCGTTGTTGTTGTAAACTTTTCACATTTTCATCTTCTTCTCAAGAACCGCTGGGCCAATTTCAACCAAATTTGCCACAAAGTATCCTTGGGTGAAGGGGATTCAGGTTTGTTCTAATGAAGGGCCTCGCCCTCATTCAAGGGGAGATAATTGGGAATAAATGAAAATTTGGTGGTATGTTTTAAAAATCTTCTTCTCAAGAACCACTGTGCAAGGAAAGTTGAAACTTATGGGGAAACATCCTCAGGTAGTGTAGATTCAAGTTTGTTCAAATTATGACCCCCGGGGGTAGGACGGGGCCACAATGGCCGTCCAAAGTTTTACATAGAAATATGTAGGAAAATTCTTTAAAAATCTTCTTCTCAAGAATCACTGTGCCAGGAAAGATGAAACTTATGGGGAAACATCCTCAGGTAGTGTAGATTCAAGTTTGTTCAAATCATGACCCCCCGGGGTAGGGCGTGGCCACAATGGCCGACCAAATTTTTACATAGAAATATATAGGAAAATTCTTTAAAAATCTTCTTTTCATGAAGAACAAAGCCATAATTGATCATATTTATATGGAAGCATCTTTAGGTAGTGTAGATTCAAGTTTGTTCAAATCATGACCCTCGGGTGTAGGGCAGGGCCACAATAGAAATATATAGGAAAATTATTTAAAAAATCTTCTCAAGAATAACAAAGCCATAATTGATCATATTTATATGGTAGCATCCTCAAGTAGTGTAGATTCAAGTTTGTTCAAATCATGACCCTTGGTGGTAGGGCGGGGCTACAATGGCCAATCAAAGTTTTAAATAGGCATATATAGGAAAATTCTTTAAAAAAAATCATCTTACGAAGAATAGCAAAGCCAAAATTGGTCAATGGACTACTTTCAGATTTAAAGTATTAAATTATAAACCAATTTCTACTTTTTCTTAGCCACAGTGCTCAGGTGAGCGATGTGGCCCATGGGCCTCTTATTTAAGGAGGAATTACTAAATTTGCGTCTCGCTAAAATTTCAACTTATACAGTATACTGTATTTATACAAAGAGACATAGAATGACTCCAAACAAAAATCAATGTATGTACCACAATTATACCAATGAACCTTAAAATCATAAGCATCAATATCAAAACTTCAAATTATACATGGTAACATGATTCCTTACACTATCAGAAAGTCAAACAATGTTAACCTTATATAAAAGTGACCTAAATAATTGCATAGTCTGTGCTTATTAATACAGGGAAAGAATAGGATTATAAGCATAGCATTACATATAAGTTTCTGGAATTCACTTTTCTCTATTTTCTATTCCTAGTTTTCATAAGCTTTAATACTGTTTTTCAGTTTTATCAATACTACTGAAGTCCAAGTACAAATATAAATACATCAAAAGAGAAACTCAAAGCAATAGGACAATAAAATATTGAACTATTTGACTGTCTCTTTGAAATGCTTTTAAAAGATTGATGCCATTGTCTTCCAGTGTAAGACTTATCTCCCTTACCTACAATGACAACAAACTCTTTGCCTCCCCTGAGCGCAGATAGAGTTGCCTCCCTTAACTTCTCTCCGAGGCCACCTGGTGGCTGCTGATATAAGTACATAAAATCGTACCCCCCTGATTTCGGGGTCAGCCAGTATTTCATGTTCTTCTCCGTGGATCCATTGTACCACACTGCCAGGTCTGTGTCTCTGTTCTTACTGCAGTATTCACTCAAACGCTCCAAAATGTGCTCCGTCTTAAAGAAACAAATAAATATATAAGTAAATGGTCGTCTAATGTTTACAAAAACATTACAACACATATCAACATCATTCATGTAACAGTGAGACACGATTGTTTGCCAGTGTTTTAACCACATGTGCTTGTGGTTCCAATAACAAATGAATTAAGGTCAGAATCATCATACTTTGGAATAACCCCTGGTCCTAATGCAATTCCTCCTTCCTGATTTATTACAGCCAACTTTAAAGTAATTTTTATTTAATGGTGTGTTTTTTTTTTGGCCCTCTCCCAATCCAGGATTTAAAAAAAAAATTGATTCAATAGGTATGTGAATTTTTCCCCCAGGAATTTTCAAAATCTTTTTTCCAGAATGCATTAAACAAGAGGCCCATGGGCCACGTCGCTCACCTGAGCACTAAGGGTAGGAAAAAGTAGAAAATGGCTTTTTATTGTAAATTTTAAATCCAAAAGTAGTCCCACGACTAATCCGCGAAGCGGTTTATAAAAAAGCGTAAACTGCCCCAAGTTTTGTTATATCATACAATATAAGTTTAAATTATCTTCATTCCTTATAATTTAATTTCAGTGCAGACAATGAGATAATTTTTCCCCCAGAGTAAGGCTTCACATTGACTAAAATTTAAAAGTAATGTCAAGCGGAATAATACGTTTTTTTGACGTAACTCATTGTGACGTAGGCAAGTTATGTTATACAAAATGGATAAAATCTTTTATCCAATCAAATGACGCATTACAAGTAAAATTAAATTTATTTAAAAATATTAAAATATTAATTAAAATAACAATTGTAACAAAGCAATTTTTATGTCTCTGGAGAATATTATGACATTAGTTTATATATATTGCATTCATTCATATTGTAACAGTATATATAATAATGATCATATGTTACATAGTAAGGGGCCAAAATGCTAAATCTTTGATTCTTAAGTAATATATAGAGTACCTTTTAACGAGTGTATCATCAGATATCAGACGAGGGGGCTTGCCCCCCGAGTCTGATATCTGAAGATGCACGAGTTAAAAGGTACTCTATATGTTTTGTATCATAGTTCCCAGGAAATGAGTTACCCGTGATCTATCACTTTTACGTTAACAGCACGTAGCTCGACTGTATTCTCACGCACTGAGTTAGCCATGATCTATCTAAATTTCATCAGAAAATTTTATCTGACCATTGAAAAAAGTAGCACGTGATTCGAAAAGTATATAACGCGCTGCATTTCTTAAACTTTGGATTACCTCGCCATTCAAGTCTGAACGCCATGGATGACAGTTGTGATTTTATCCTATTGCAATTCTCGATGCAAATTGAAATTATGAAGGAAAATTCTTCATGTCACTTAATCTTTATACTCGTAAAAATACTAAATGGGCAATTAAATTTAAACGTTAAAGGAATACCGCATGGGAAAATGGACACTTTTGAACAAGATGTATGGCGATTCTTCAAATTACTGGATGCGTCGATTTGTGTTGAATTCATAAAACAAGACGACGACGGAATATAAAATTAACCTCATTTCCTGGTATATGTAGTTCATTGTGTGTGCTTTGTTATGCTTCAAGTTTATAAAATGAGAGTCAAAAGCATTAATTTTCTAAACCCGCTGTGTGAATTTCATTTTGGATTTAAAAATGTAAGGTCATGGGTCATTTATTAGAATTGTTTCATCACCCTGGCGTGCTATATCTTGATAGATCACGGTTGTTAGATCACAGTTATAGCCATGATGTATCAGAAATAAAAACACAGCGATCTTCAAAGGAAAAACACCGCAACAATGATACAATATTTAGTGTACGTGTTTAGTTACTTTATTTTCTTCTTGGTAGTGCCTTCTGAACTAACTACTGTGTAATGTCTGACTAAGTAAAGGATTTTGTCATGGTGGCAGTGGAGCTCATGCTGTACAGGACCAGCTGAGATTATAGAAAACCTGTCTTTAGACCATCTGATAGAGCACCTGTCTAGAGATCAGAGTTTAGAGATAAAATATCTAGAGATCAGGGTTTAAAGAGCACCTGTCTTAGAGATCAGAATTACAGGACACCTGCCTTGAGTCAATCAGAGTTTAGAGATCAAATGTCTAGAAATCAGCCTGAGTGTTTACAGACACCTGTCTTAATAATAAATATCATGATTTATAGATAAAATGTCTAGAGATCATGTTTTGTAGATCTGTCTAAAGATGAAGGTGTATAGAGAATCGGTCTAGAGATCATGTTATAGAGCACCTGTCCGGAGATAAGAGTTAAACACTAGAGAACCTGTCAAGACATCAGGGAATCAGGGAGTCCAGGATCAATTTCTGACCTCTTACATG